ATTTATCAGTCCATTGCTCCAACTGGCTGACTCGAGAGTCTCAAGCTGATCTAGTCTAAGGCAATGCTCAAAACCCTTCTCATCCTTTTTTTCTTCAGAGAAGGTTTTTCAGGTTGTTATTTCAAAAGGATTTTTTTCAAGATACTAGCACATCCATAGCAGACCTTTTCATTTTTCAAACACAAGGAAAATATTTTAGACTAGAAGACAGAAAATTCTCTTTTGAGCCCTTCTTTTGCCCCTAAGCCAAATAAACTTGATGAAGTTGCTTCACATCTCTGAAATTCAGTTTCTTAAACTGTAATCTGGAAATAATATAACACATATCACAGAATTTTATAAAGGCTAGATGAAGAGTACAGTGTTTGAGGATTCTTTTCAAGCTATAAAGTACATTATAAAACTATAAAGTGGGAGATAATTATAACACAAATTCTGAAACTTGGTATGTTTTTCTTCTATATAACCAGTTAAAGTTTTCAAAGCAGCTGTGGTTTGATAAATTACAGGATAACCTACTCTTAATCATAACATTTGGGAAGTCTCTTTTTTCTTTTACATAAATAAAGTAGATATTCAATAAATGTTGGATGGAAGGATGGATGGTCGGTGGTTGGGCGGGAGGGAGGGAGACAGCTCCTAAGGGTAAATAGGAGAGTTCATGAAGTTTTAATCTTCCTCTTCAATTCTGCTTTACAACATATTCCTTGATAGGAACTATGTTCTTGGTGTGTTGAAGGGTAGGAGCCTTTTAGAAGCACTGAGTTAATGTATCAACTCAGTAAGCTTGTTTGTCTGCTATTTGTTTTCTCATTCAACAAAATTTATTGAGCAACTACCATCAGCTGAGCATTGTGCAAGGTTCAGGGACAATGCAGTTTAATGTGTCACTATTTTTTTTTTTTTTGGTGCCTATTTCTTCAGCTTCTAATTTTGCCCCTTCAGTCTTCTGTGGAATGCTGAGCAAACTGACACTTGAACAGTCATATGAAGGGCCCACCACTGTTGAGGGCTGTGCTTGACAAAATCTCATCTTGTGAATTGTTCCCTGATGTACACATGCAGTCCATGGTTCCTCTATGGGCTATGAAATGTGTTTATTCAGAAAAGAGAGAGCTCCTCCTGCCCTTTGTTGCTTTCCCCGCTTTGGGCTGCTTTTCTCAGGCGTGGCCCCTCAAGCTCTATGTAAGCAAAGGAAAAATGAGATATGTCAGCTCTCAGATCCATGTGGTTCCACAGGGGCATTAGCCATGCTATCGAATGGGGTGGGCATGAAACAGGGTTCACAGAACCTTTCTTGAGAGGAAATTGGACATGACCTGCTTCCCCCCAGGGGTAGATGCGCCTGACCTGAGGTTGTCTAAGTCTCCTCAGGACTTGAGAATATAAGCTCTTGGGAGACATTTTTCTGCCCTTCTGTTTCCAGGAAGGGAACACTTTAGCTGGTATTTTCTAAGAAGCACTGTGTCTGTTGTGTGCTGAGAATGTCTGAGAAAGGACCTCTGTGTGTGATCCATTTCTTCATTGTGGATGTGAATGAACAGTTCATTTTCAGGGAGTTTAGGGCAGATTTGGGACTAACACTCCGGCTTTGCAACTCTAAAACCATAGCTCTTCATAATGTTCCATGGTGAACTGATACTTCCAACGTATTTTCTTTATATAAGACAATTATAGTATCATAAAATGAAAAAGTATGAAAAAAAACATGGTTTTGGAACCAGACAGGACAAGGTCACATTCTGGCATTGCTTCTTATATCTGGGTGATACTCTGATCCTTTGCTTCTATATCTGTTGAAAGGGGGAAAGAATATTTCATTTATAGATATTGTGAAAATTAGAGATAACATTTAAAGAGCTTAGCACAGTACCCAGCCTATCTTAGATTTCTGGTACGTTTGCCCGAAAGGGGCAAAGCATACAACTGTCTCTTGAAAAGTAGTTTAGACTGTGTTGATGTCGGTGATGAGGGTCATTGTCATGGTGATGGGGACATAGTTACCATTAATCAAACTGTTATTTTTAAACATATCCTCCATATCAGAGCAACCATATGATACTGTTATTTTCTTCATTTTATAGCAGGTCTTCTGTCTCCAAATTCCATCCTTTTCTCATTATAACACTAGTTCTCAGACTCTGAGTCTAGATACATCCACAATGAATCTGCTAACTGGAGAAGAAACAAGAAATATTTCCCACAGATTTCTTTTTTCCCCACTTTTAAGCCCCTTTCAGTATTGATAGACCCTGTTAGATACACTTTGCATGTGCTTTATGTATGTGGAAACAATAAATGTGGGTCATCGTCAGGAATTCCTTGAACTTCTTGATAATGCTGTGACTAGCCATGGTCAACCCTTTTTCTATTAAGGATCTCAGGCTCAGTATCATCAGGAGCCCAATATTTGGAGATATACAAATAAGGAAAGGTTGACCGCCTGTTTATTGGACTTTTATCTTGGGGAGAAACCCAAGAACTAGCAGTTTGGAATCAAAAGACTACCTGGATGTGAATCCCAGCCCTGCCGCTTATGAGCTGTGTGACCTTGGTTAAGTTACTTTCAATTTTGAATTGGTTTCCTCCTCTATAAAATGAGGATGATAACAATGCAATCCCATCTGATGGTTGTGAGAATAGAATGAGGACGTAGAAAGAGAGCATACACAAAGAGCTCAAATAAATTAGCTCATATGTAGGGTTCCTTCCTTTGCACAAGCCTTTGTGCCCTGGATAGGAAACTGCTTCACTTAGGGTCCACCCAGAAAAATATGAAACACTGTAAGTATTTTTTTAAAAAGGAATTTAATAGACAACAACAGTGACCCAGATGATGAAGAAACTAAGAAGGGCTGCATTTCCCGGCACCAAGCCAGGGATCAGCAAAACGGACGCTGATGCTCCCCTTTGTCTAGAGGGACAAGGGAAGGAGGCGGTGTTACCAGAGTCCAAGGGCAGTGACACCAGCAGATGTGGGAGCTGTGGCGTCTGTCAGCAGAGCTAAAGTCCTGAAGGAGAAGCAGCCACCTGATGTAGAAGAGCTGGAGACACAGTCTCGCTTTCCTCTTTCTTCAGCCCTCAGATCTCCTGGTCGCCCTTGGCTGACTTGGAGTCTGGGAACCAGTGTGCAGGGACAGCCGCACAGCACTGGGTGGAGCAGTGCACCTAATAACAGCCAACAGGCCTAACTACTGTGGTAACTGACACAGAAAGTTTGAGTCTTACTTCCTCCTGCTGCTGGGCCCTCTGAACAATGGCAGAGGGTCACAAGGTGCCATACTTGGGAAGGTAGAATTTAGAAAAAACATTGGAAAAGCCTACAAAGTTGTTGGAATGTAAGAGACCTGCCAGTGGTCCTCTAGATCCCACTTTCTGGAAAGGTCAGCTTGCTGAGCAAAACAGTGCTTTCAGCATCTGGGAATTGGTGGCCTGAGGAAACATCCCCACCCCGCCTTACCCCTGGCTAAGCCCTGCAGAGCTCAGCATAGACCCTCCTCCTTGGGAACCCTCCCTGAGTCCTTACAGGTGAGCTCAGGTGCCCTGAGGTTCCTCCTGTCCTTCAGATCCCAGCATTGAGATGTCCATTTAGAGTTCTCCCTCCTTCACCTCAGACTGGGTACCCCACATGGACAGGGACTTGTCTTCCTTATCCTCATGTCCCCAAGCATTCACACTTGTGTTTCCTGCCCTGTGCCAGCAACTGTGACAGGTGCTGGGCAGCTAAGCATGTGGGCAAGACAGTTTCAACTTCCTGCAACTTACTGTAGAAGAAGATGCAAATGGTATGACTTCTTAAAATTACCAGTGTCTTGTGTGCTAGGGAAGTCCATGGTGTATGAGATCAGGGAGACTCCATCTTTCCTGGAGGATCAGGGAAACCTTCAGAGGAAGTAATATTTTAGTTAAGAATAACTAAGAGTTAGCCTGGCAAAGAGGTTGGGGAATAGCATTTCATGCAGAGGAAAGAGAAAATGCAAAGGTCCAAGAGTGGGAAAGAGTGTTGAGTATTAGTGATGGAGAGCAAGGATGGCATTGCCTGGAGCTGATGATGTCAGTGGGGCTGTTCTCTCCTGTATCCCAGTCACCATGCTTGCCCTGAGCACTTCTCAACTTCTGCCTGGGTTGTAATTAGGAATGTTGCAAAGATTTCAAGTCCAAAGGTGTTTGCAGCTGTCACAGTCTACCTAGTTTTATGCATAGAGGTACTTAGTGGATATTTGAATAAAAGAGGGACAGTTTTGGCCTCTAATCAGTATTTCTAGCCCTCTTGTTATATGTGCAACTTCCCTTGCCTAGCAAGCATTAAGGAATATGATCTTTGTGGAGAAGTAGCCTGAGTTTATACCATTTATGGGAAACTGTGCTGTCTGGCATTCTTTTAACAAAAAACTGTCTTTCAGTCACCCTCTCTTTTACTCTGTGAGTTCTGTGATAAGTAATAGTAAGAACAGTGATCTAGAGATACCAGAAAAACAATTCAATCATCAAACAATTCTGTTGCCTTCTTTGGGACTGAAATGTGATGTTAAAGCATGTTCCATTAAGCTCTGTTCCTTCCTAGCAGTGTGCCCTTGGACAAGCCACTCCACTTCTGTGAGCCTTCCTTTCTTCACTCTGTATGGGACATTGACAACATCAACTTGAGAGGTTTGATATAAACCAAGATTATACATGTAGCTGTTCAGCACAGCACCTGGTGTTTCCTGAGCACAACCTCACCGACAGCTTCTGCCTTTGCTATTGTAATCACGGTTACTATTATTCTTACATGGTTGGGTGCTGTTCACTGAGCAGAGAAAAGCAAAACCAGAGCAGTGTCCCCACGTTTCCCATAGGCAAGTACATTCTTTTGGTGTCCGTTTGTGACTGGCCTGCACATGGAACACTCTCTTAATGTCATTCAGCTATAAAAAGGAGTGCTTCAGGCTTGTTTTTAGCTTTCTTTTCTTCTTTTTTTTTTTTTTAAGAGGATTTTGTTTTGGTTTGCTTTCTCATAGGAGTGATTGGAGCAGATGTGAGGGGGCATGGCCTTGCCTGTGAGGGACAGCCAGTGACATCAAGGCTGGCTGTCATCTGTGGAACATCTTCTTGTCACATGGTGGTGAGTCCGTGGGGACTGGGGCAGCCCAGGAGGGGATCTGATCTGCTGGTCCTTTTATCCCTCAACTTCTTCCCTTTTTGCCCTTCTGCTTTGTCTCACTGAAAGCCCAGCTCTCCCTCCAGCAGCTTTGCTTAGATTTGCCTGCACTTTCTTTTTCCAGAGGCTGGATTCTTAAAAAGTGTGAAAAGGATTGAGTCCGCCTTTGGCATCACCCTGGCCAGAGAGCCCAGGCGTGAGGGGTGAAATCAGATCCAAGGTGACCATGCTTCACTCTCAGCTAATGGGTAGCTAAGTCTTCTCTACAAAGGGGTATCTGTTTTCCTTGGCCACTGAGCTCTCTCTCAATCAATATAAATCCATCTGCCTGGGAGCAGCCTGATGATCTATAGAATTAGGCTGCATATCATGACTTCAAAAGAACACTGATAAGCAATTTTCACTTTGTTAATTTTTCTCCATGAATTAGTAGAAAGGCTTTCTCCAAGATTGCAGTTAAAATTTAGTGCCTACCCTAAAATTTATATCTTCTTTAAATGCATGAGTCTGAAAGCATTCCATTTCGATAAGTACCCATTTCTACCATATTTTTATTTAAAAGTCATTATTCTGTTAAACTTAGATGGACGACTCCTTGGATTTTTCCCAGATGAGTAAAATAGAGGGGAGAGTGGGGAGGAGGAAGAAGGTAAATGGGGGATGAGAGGGGAGATGCACAAGGACTGGAGTGAATACCATCCAGGGCAGAATCTCTGCAACTGTGGACAGAATCGCATGCAATGGGAAACTGCTTAGTAACTATAGGGACCAATGAGTCTTTTTTACCATTAAATATCTTGGTTGAGTAAACATTGATAGATACATTTCTTTGTTTACTGGTTCCCTGTTCCTGTGTCGCAAGCTGTGTTAAACCTTGGGGACATAAGGATGATAAAGGGCTGCCTATTGATGACATAGAATTATAACCATTATTATAATACAATATAAGGCCCCCAAATATAGATTCAGATTGAAGTTGTGATATTGAGCATCTATTATGTGCCTGTGGCATTGCTCAAGGTGCTCTCACACGTGCCTGCCCGTTTCATGCAGATGGTGCAGCCAGCCTCATTTGTTCCATTCCCAGTTCCTCCACTTACTAAATATGGGCCCTTGGGCAAGGCACTTAACTCCTCTGGATCTCAGATGCCTCATCTGCAAAATGTGGAAACTTATAGTACATGGCTCACAGCGTTGTGAGTATGAAGTGAGGTTATATAAAGTGCTTTACATAAAGTAAGCACTTTACAAGGCTTAGCTTTGGTTGATTACTATTACTAACATTGTTGAACAGAGAGGGGACTGTGACTGACTCTGTAAAGGGACCAGGGTTAGGGACATCTTCCACAGGGGACTACTGTGCTGGACTTTAAGGACACAGATTTCCTTGACCCTCCCACCACCTCAAAAAATCGTTTCCTTTTTTTTGGTTTCCCTGGGCAAAGTCTTAAATGGAACTTCAAAATAACGTCTTTAACTTAGTTCTTAAAATCCCAACCTCTTTCTTCCACACAGCAGCCCTGCTATAAGGTTTAGTTGCCACTGAAGAGAGAGATCTACAGAGGCCTAGGTCCACCTTAAGCAGCACAGGCCCGCCAGGGCAACCTGCCCTTATTTCCATTGATGAGCATCTATACTGCTTAGCTTGTCTTAACTGAATGCTGATTGGAACCTATCTAAGTGTTTTCCCATTGTCACAGGGACACATCTAATCTGGTTTCTCCCATGAAGTCATTGTCAGGGCATTTTTACTCACTCAATTCAGATTTCTAAGCAGAAGCAAATCCAAATGAATGCAAGTGACATTTTGATGTCCTCACCTCTCAGGTCTCCTTGTCTATTCCAGGAGTTGATACCACCTTTTCCTACAGTACCCATTTTACACATGAGGCAAGTAGGCATAGAGAAGTTCAGAAATTTTCCCAAAGCTACAAAGCTATGAAGCCGGAGGTGAGCACTCATCTGCTCCATGTGATGTCCATCACATCCTCCTCAGTGCCTGTGTGGTGTTCACAATTATAATGTGCCTGTGGAGTAATGGAGACAGCGTGGGCCTCGGACTCATGCAGATACGGGTTTGAATATCTGCTCATACGCTTTCTGGCCCTGTGACCTGAGGTGAGCTACTTAACTTCTCTGAGCCTCAGATTCTCCATCTGTCACGTTGGGACAATGCCAGTCTCACAGGGTCGCTAGATAACATGAGTTATGTACGTGCATACCTGGTACATAGCAGACACTCAGAAATGGTGGGGATTCTTACTACACTTTGTTAGCGATACGAAAAGCTCACATGAAGCAGCTGTTTGGGTTGTAATGAGCTGGATGGGCAGCTGCAGTTGGTTGTAATGAACGAGGGCAATAAAATGCCAGTGTATTACGGCCGGGTTGTGTTGGAAGTACAGTCCCTACCCCCACCCCGCTTTGTACTTGGGAGTAGGAAGGGACCTTCTGGGCCAAGGAGATTAATCATCAGCTTTAATGTTATGTGGGGAGGGCGAGACTGTGGTCGTGCTGGCATCAGAACGTGCCTTTGATCTCACTCAGGTGCTGGGCGCCCGGAGAGCCAGCGACAATAACACCTTTGTGCAGTCTAGAGAGGTGCAGGTCTGAGGAAACACTCCCAGGGAAATTCAAGGACCTCTTTGTTGTGGTTCTGGCAAATAAAACCACCAACTGTCAGGAAAATTTCACCAAACAGAACACAGGGATGAGTGGGGGCTGTAGGCTTTTCAAAAAGTGTTTCCAACCTGGTCTGAAGGATTCTGTTTCTTCCTCTTTCTTTACTGCTGTTGTTTCTAATTCAGTAGGTTGGTTGAGTCAAAATTCCCAGGAATATTTTATACTTGATCCACGTTCCCTCTTCCTAGGTTACCTTGAATGAATAAATGAATGAATGGATGTCCAAGTTGGTGAATATTGGTAAATAGAAGCTCCCTCCCTTCAGGTCCCTATTATGTCCAAGAATCTGGAGAAAAGTCTGAGACTGAACATGACTTACTAATCAGGCCTTTGATATTTTAGAAGAAACAAGTGTGGGCTACACATTTATCTTGTAGATGGTTTAGTTAACAAGGAAAGAAAAAAAAACTTTGTTGTTTTTTTAACTCCATGAAAGCAGAGCTGCTTGTTCAGAGTTAATTACTACCAAGTCACTAAAACCCAAGATAATACACAGCAGGGGTCAGCCAGAGGTTGAAAAGTCATGGAGTCAGATAGAGCTGGTCTTTGCCACGGCGCCTGTGCCCCTTTTCTTGAGCTGTCAAGTCGGATTGTAACTTGGCAACTTTCTTTCTAGTTAGCACGTCAGATAGGAGTGAACCCTGGGAAGAGGAGGAAGTATTGAAGAGGTAAGACTTAAATAGAACAAAAGGTGGTGAGAGCTGGGAATTATGTCTGATGTTTAAATCACTCAGAACTGAAGATTTTACAAAGTCTTAGATGAATGTAAGGATGGTGGTTCTCTGTCACTTAGTGGGCATGGAATTGCAAAAAGGGGCTCATATGCTGGTCCCACCAGTTACTGTGTGAATTTAGGGAAGATCCTTCCTCTTTTTGTGCCTTAGTTTCTTCATCAGTTAAATGTGGACAATAGGATTTACCCATGAAGTTGTTTACAGGATTAAATGAGGTCATCTTTATAAACAGTTTGGCACTGTACCTAGCACAAAACACCAGATATGATTTTATTATTAAAAATGATTCATTAAAGCTAGAATGATCCATGTGGTAGTGGATTTGAATTGGGGACATCAGGATGAATTCCTGGTTGGCTTAATATACATTACAGATGGATACATATGCAAATATTTATGGACATGTGTAGGTATTACAGGTTAAGAAACATGCATGCATTTCTTTGCTCTGACAGCTTATGGGGACCTGAAAATGAGGATACCCCAGCAGTTAGTTGTTACAAGCACACCTACTGTTCAGATCTTGGTGCCTAATACCATTCTCCAATAAAAAGAAACAGGAGTCCTTGGAGAAATGGTTGATTCTCCCTGGGACAGGAAATAGACAAAATGAGCTTGGAACATCTTGTAGTCAGAAAGTAAGGATGTGCTCAAAAAAAGACAAAAAGATGCAATTATTAGGAGCCAACTGAGGGAGCCCCCAGTAGCCAAGATGAGAACAGTTTGAGCAGCAAAATAAAATAGTACTGGATTATAACCCAAAGTATAACATAAGTGTCATTAGTTCATAATGATATAAATAAATGAACAGAAAGGGCAAATCTCTCATGCAGAAGAATTTCAAATAATTTATGTAAATATTCCCCCATTGAGGTGGAACATAACTTCCTATTTCTTAAATGTGAGCTGCATATAGTGACTTCTTCGGAGAGGACAGTATGAAAATGGTGGGATTTGAGTAATTTTGCAGTGGAGAAACCTGATAGTGACTCCCTCAGCTAGGTAATCAAGGTCACCATCGACAGTGATAAGTCATATTGATAAAAAATAGTGTTGATATCATGTGATAGACTGGCACTTTCTTTATCTTCATCCTCAAAACCAATAACCACCGTCTAATTATAAGAAAAACATCAGACAAATCCAAACTGAGGGACATTCTACAAAATATCTCACCAGTGCTCCTCAAAACTGTCAAGTCAAGGTCGTCAGAAAACAAGGACAGTCTCAGAAACCATCATAGCCAAGAGGAGCCTGAAGGGACGTGACAGCTGATTGTAGTGTAACATCCTGGGTGGGTCCTGGGACAGAAAGAGGACCTTAGGTGAAAACTATGGGAAGCTGAATGAAATAAGGCCTTTATAGTACATCAGTATTCTTGTTTAATTGCAATGTATGTACCTACTGTCAGATTTAATGCTAGGGAAACTGGGTGTGGTGGATGTGGAAACTCTGTACTATGTTCCCAAGTCTTGAGCCTTCTAAAACTATTCTAAAAGTAACAGTTGTTTAAAAATAATAATTTATTAAATCATTCATTCAATAAGA